AAAAAAAAAAAAAAGAGTAAAATTGTGGAGAATGCTTGCTGTTGTAAATTAGATCTGCTGAACTACTCTGTCATGGCGAAAAGCGTAATGAAGAAGATCTCATTAGGGTTTTACTAAGTGACTAAGGTACATGAAGTGGAAATTTTGTAACAGTGTATATCCTTTACAGAAAGCCTATGAATTCTTGCTGAAATGACAGAAGCTTAGGCCCACTCAGAATTCCTCTTTTTAGATGTCAGGGTTTTGGTCTCCCCCAACAAACCAGTGCAGTTGTTTTACTACGTTTGATTCAGCTTTCTGACGGCCGGGTCATTCCTGTGGGCCCAGGGTTTGTGGTGGGGAAGATTGTCGGAACATAGCAGCAGACCTGCTCATCCACCCGCATGCATTCCAGGTGTCTGCAGGGGTGAGGCGAGTGCCCTTGCTGTTGTCAGTGGATAGCAAAGGATAACAGCCCAGCCCAGCGCCCATACTGTCTCTCACGGGTCTGTGGTTACTGTGCTTACCCTCGAGTTGGGACAGTGTTCTCCTTCAGGTCTGTCCTGAGGCTACTAAGAGATTGTAGCCAAAGCTGGAGTCCTCCATGGGAAAGCTTGGAGGGTAGCTTCCTCTCCCAATCTGAGCCCGCAGCACTTTCTGCCTGGCCTCTTTTCCGGACCTAGCTGTCCTGAAACTGGAAAGTGCCATTGTGTCAAGCAGGCCAGGCACTGGCTTGCCATCATTCCAGCTCTGTGTTTTCAGTCACCGCTCAGACCCATCCTGGAAGGAGTGATGCCCTGCCTAGACGAAGGAGCTGGCGGCAGTTCTCTTCCGATAAAGACAGGTGGAGTCATCACTGCACCAGACTAGGGGAATCATAGCAACTTACCGCTTCCTTATTTAAACGCTGAGGCATTGGTTGTTTTCTTAAGGCACGTTGTATTTTAGTATACACTGTCGCAAAACTTTCCTGTGATTTCTATATTGCAGGTCAAGGAATTCAATTTCCGAGCCAAGTGTATCTACACCGCAGTGATGGTTCGGAGAGTCATTCTCGCCCAGGGAGACAATAAAGTCGATGACAGAGACTACTATGGAAACAAGCGGTTGGAATTAGCAGGACAGGTGATTTAGTTGTTTATGCCAGAAATCTTATTTTCTTTAATGAAAGTTAGTTTGATGTTCATTTTAGATAAGAGGAAGAGACATTTGGAGTATAACATATGTTTGCACAATAAACTGTTTTGCACGTGGTTCACAGTGTCCTCCTAGACTCAAGAATTTTTTTAACTGTGAAAAATCTACATTAATTCTTGGAATATGTTGATAGTATGTTACCTAAATTATCACTTTTGTTCATTCCCCGTAATGTCAGACATGAAATATGACTTTAATCTTACTTATTCAGTTAACAATTGTTTATTAAGCACCTGTTATGCTCTAGACATACTCCTAGGTCCTGGGTTTAACAAGGGAATAACACACACAAAGGTCCCAGTTCTCCTAGTCCTTATGGTCTGCTGAGAGATAGAATAAACAAGTGAACCATCCCTGAACTCCGAGATGGGATAGAAGTAGGTTAGGGAGGGCGTTGCTATGTTTTTAAGGCTTAGTTGATCAATATTGTCTTGAAAGTGTGTCCCTGGAAAGCAAGTGTGAAAATCTTTTAGACTTCTTGTTTCAGCATTTCAATCAGAAATTCCCTTTAAATGAATGAGCTAGAGTGGACACCTGGCTGCTATGAATATGTTCTGTTTTTCCTTTGGTTTTACAGAGTTTCGTTGGCATGCTTTTCCTTATTTTCTTCGGGTTCACTAAGTTTTTAAGTCTGTAAATGTATTTCTTTCTCCAAATTTGAGTCATTTTCAGGCTTTATTCAAATGTCTTTTTTCATGCTATCCTGTATCTCCTTTTCTTCTGACTCCAGTTATACCATTAAACCTTTCAACACAGAGGTTTAGGTTTCTAATGTTTTAGAATTTTTTTCTCTTCAGATTGGATGATATTTATTGACTATTTTCTAGTTCACTAAGTTAATGTCATTTTCAAGTTCACTAACTTAATGTCATCTCCAATTCATTGTTATACTCATCCAGTTAATTTTTTGGTCCATATATTTTATTTGTCAATTCTAAAACTTCAACTTGGGTATTTTTTTCATGGCTTCTGTGTCCTCTGCTGAGATTTCCTTTTGGTTCATCCACCACAATCATACTTTTATTTACATCTTTGAAATTTAATGGCTGCTTTAAATTCCTGTCGGCTGATTCTGCTGCCTCATGGGGTCATTCTCTGGGTTGGCTCTTCACCCGAGGGTAGGTCGTGCTTTTCTGCACTCGGAGCACTGGGGTGCTGGTGGGGGGGCGCTCACTTCTGTCAGGATGATCACGATAGCTCCTTGGAACCCTGCCGTACGTTCAGGCTAGACTCGAACAAGGAGAAGCCAGTGTCATATAACTCATGAAACGGAATTCCAGCAAGAGACACAGCAGGTGCAGGGGACAGTTAGGCTGGCAGGAGTGAGGGCACTGTAGTGCGAGGTGACAGTGGAGACAGGCAGAGCTGGGTTATTATCTATTTAAATTTGCACAGAGTAGGACTGGCAGCTGGTGATGGGGAGAGTGCTGGCCCGAGCTGCCATGTAGAAACTGATGCACAGATGAGCGGGTGGCAGGAGCAGACAGGGTTGCGGCGGAGGTGACAGAAACGAACTCACACACCACAGCAGTTTAGGGAAAGTTAGGTCTGGCCTGCAGGAGGCTCTGGTCAGTGGCTGATGTGGAGCGAGTCCATTTCTCCCTCACCTAGACTGAGCACGTGCATCCCCACCAGCCCCAGGTTTCAGTCTTTTTTAATAGGAAAAAATCCTGCCGTTAAAGGAGTCCATTTTAAAAAGTTGGTGGTTTAGAGGCCTAAGGAATGGAGTAGGAGGGGTAAAGGAGAGACTTCCTGTTGCTTAAGAAATGAGAATGAAAGAGGGCTCCCCAGTGCAGGAAGCGTAGCTTTACAAACAGCGTAAGGACATAAAAGTCATTGTGTTGGCAAAAATGTGTCACAACAATAGCTGCTAATTTTGCACCCCCTGGGAGGGTGAGCGGGATGTGCCTGGGCCTCAGATAACAGCGCTCCCTCCCCTGGCCGGTGCCCATCCACGGGTTCCTGCGTCTCCTGCCACCAGAGGCCTGGCAGGCCGATCGCCAGCGGAGGTGTTAGCAGAACCTACCGGTTGCAGGCTTAATCTTTTCACCTACCTTTTCTTTTTCGGTAATGTGTTCATTATTTGCCACGCAGTACTCTATTCTTTGTCTGCAAATTTTTTGTTTCTAATACAGCTTGCTTTGTTTGGGTGAGATATGGAATGGCACCAAAATCCGGCACCCTGGAAAGCCAGGGATTTCCACCCCGGGACAAAAGAATGCTGTCTTGACTTCAGAGATTGCCTAATCCCAGCTGTTCTGATAATGTAATTAAGGCTGCCTAATGTCTTTAATTTTGCAACCAGTTTGTGTGAAAAGGAGAATTTGGCACTCTGAAGGCTTAAACACTAAATAGCAATCTCAAGACGCCTAATTAGAATTCTCTGACATTAAGCTAATTGGTGAAACTGTATTTCAGCAGCTTAACTTCTTTATTAATTTTTTTAGCATTTTCATTGAATATCAGTTGATGAGCCGTCAGCGTTTCCCCCTTAAATATGATTTGCTCAGCAGCACTGCAGTCAGGCAGGCGGGCGGGCAGGCCTTCGGCCAGCAGTGAGAAGTAGTGAGTATTGTCTCCAGCCTTCCGTCCCTTTCATCATTTCACTCTTGACCTGAATAATGTGCTTGAGCGTGTGACTTGGCCTTGCACTCTCGCACTGCTCTGGTAACTGGACAACATTATTTTCCTTAAATTGAGAAATTTATTAGTGAGGCAGCTTCTCTGTTGACGTGCCCTTCTTAGTTGTTTAGTACCAGAGCTGTTTCTTTGTGTTTGGATTGGGGGGACGGGCTACAGAAAAATTCAGCTGGGATCCAAAGAAACTTTGTCATAATTTGAGACAAAAGTGGCTAAGTGCAAGGGACTCATTAAAGGAGAACTGAGCTTTTGTGGTTGAGGTTGAGGGTGTTTGATTCTGTCCGGGACGCGCATTCAGTCCCTCCTGCCAGCTTCCACAGGAAGTGCCGAATGGCTTCCTCATCCCTCCCGCCCCTGCACCTGCTCCATTCCCATAGTCTTTCTTCCTGCAAGAGAGCGAGACCACTGGGTCCGCCTGCAAGAGGGGATTAAGCTCTCAGAGGAGGGAGTTTTCTTTTGGAACACTTGTGGCAGTCAGGAAATTCATAGCCAAAATCTTGGCCTCTCTGTCTGCAGAGTTGGTTTGGGTAGCAAAGCAGGACTGACTTACAGTAGAAAAGTGTGAGAGCCCACCACCCTGGGATTCCTTTTTCAGTTTGCGATCTGGAGAAGACTCACTTGCTTCAAGTATCTCCTTAGGACTCAGAAAACTACCGGTCCATTATAACTTTCAGCAAATTTTTAGCTTAAAAAAACTCCCTGCTCTTCAGAATTTTTCTCTAAGGAAATAATTAATGTAAATATAATGCCCCATAGTACTTTAATGTTTTGTTAGTTAAACTTTTTTCTTGTTCCATAAAGAAAATAGAACACTTACAAAGGGAAAAAAGGCAATTAGTTATGCAAGGGGATTTAGTACTTATAATATCTATTGCATGTATGGTTAAAATGTCTGCTCTTTATCTGTAGTCAATCACGTACTTAACTTTTCCGGTGCACTGGCCTAAAACAGCTGGCCATGACTTGTGGGGCCGGGAATTCAGGCCAGCCTGGCTGTTTCATCTTCTGCTTCAGGGTGCAGCGGAGGCTGCCGCTGGTGTCCCGCTGGGGGCAGTGGGCAGGACTTGGGCCGGGCCCAGCAGTGTGCTGGCCTCAGGACCCTGAAGTGTTTCCCAGGAACAACACAGACTGTGTGACCTTGGGGCCTAGACTTGAGTCACACCACCGCCTCTGCTTACCCCAGATCAAAGCCACCCCAGCGTCTGCCCAGATGTGGGGCTGAATGGGCACGGCTGCACCTCTCAGTGTGTGTGTGGGCCGGGCGTCAGCCAGAGTTAGGTGGTTGGTACACAGAACCCGGGCCTCTCTCCGGGCCTTTCTCCTGGGTTCTCTGCTTTCTGGGGATTTCCCCTCACTTGCCAGCTACCTGGATATTTACCCCCAATCCTTCATCCAGTGAGACTGTGGGTCTCCTTGAGTTTAGCTTCCATGGTGGCTTGGACCCGCCTTACAGTGTGGCCTGCCCTGACATGACAGCATGAGAACCAGAAACAGGGCCAGTGCCACTCTCCCTCCGGGGTCTGGCTGCTAGTACCTTCCAAGAGCTTGGTGTTTTGTTCAGAATGTCATCTCTATGTGCAGTTCATTACGTCTGTGAGGATCTGCTCCACAGTTCTGGAAGCACCCATCTCAGACTCTTTGCCTGACTTCTGTTGCACCCCATTGACGGGCTGCCCTGACCACACTGCTTTGAATCTGTCACTGTTGTTTAACAGCATTTACTTTTTCATGTAAAAAAGTTGCATACATGTAAGTTACAAACACCCTCAGAGCCACTCCCCACTTAAGAATTAGGCTATGATCAATTCCATTTCTTTTACCTGTTTATTACTCTGCTCCACTTCTTCTCACTATCCAAATATTTATGTGTTCTTTTCTTGATTTATTATATTGTTTAATTTTAAAATCTTAAACTATTATTACAATATGTTTGTCTTCTGAGCTTTGTAAAAGTAGATTCATACTGTATAATTTTTTTGAGACTATTTTCTTTACTCAACAGTATTTTTAAGATTCATCTGTGTTATTGCTTGTCTCTGTAGTACATTTTCATTTCTGTATCACGTTCCATTTGTACAGATATGATATAACATGATACATACGATTCTAATCAAGAACTTCATATGTTTCTACTTTTTAAATACTAACATTATTGTTCATGTTTCCTGGGCCATATATATAAGCATTTCTACAAGGATGATCGCCTTGTTGTGGAGTCACATTAAACTTTCAGCTTAACCGAGAACATGAACCTGGCTTCCGGAGTCCCTGTGCATTGCACTGTGTAT